TGCATACAATAATAATAAATCTCTTTTAATAGTAATGAATTATAACTAAAGTTGCTGTAGTACCATTATAAATGTTTATAATTGGATTTCAAATAAACCAATTAAAATTAAAGCCTCAGTTTTAAAATAATGTTAAATTTATCTTATAATAATTACAAACTTATATCTACATCTACATACACAAGTTGGAACACTATAATTATACACTGCACATACAATAATAGTAAATTTTAAAAAAAGTACAAGGATGATATAGTTAATTAGAGATTTTTATTATTAGTATAAATGGTATAAAGTCAAATACAATTAACAAAATCATATTCCGGATGCCGGAGCGGATACATAAACATAATTGTTTTCTTTTTGTGAATTATATTAATTTGTGAAGAACTCAAAAGCAGCATAGTATAGGTATCGGAAGATATTTCCCTGGCAATGAAAATGCTTGAATATTATACAAACCGCACACTCCTACTACATCCGGGTTTTGTACTTAAAAATAAATACTATTAACTACTGAGAGAAAGATCTCTTTACTTCTTCTTTTATACATTTGAAAGGCACGATAACGACTAGGTAGAAGTAAATGATACGCCAAAAAATATTTCGGTCTCGTTAAGAAAGATTCCTCGTGCTCCTCTATTCGATAAAGTAGTAGTAACTTTGATATTAACCGATAAATCAAGTTTTGTACGATGTGCAAGTATATAAATGCAATAAATTGTTTCAATCACTGTGAAACACTTCGTTAGGTTTGATTTAAACATTACATATATTACAGAATAGTTGTCTTGTTGCGTTGTACATACTTCTATAAGTACAGTAATATCCTCAAACTTGTACAGATACATTCCTTGTTAATTCTAAAAATTCGAACAGCTGGAAACTGCAAAATAAGCGCATAGTAGGAACTGTCTATATCCTTTTCGTCGTTGTCAAAGCTTTCTCAAGGAAAAAATTTCCTGATGAAAATAGTAGTTATGAAATTGCGTAGAAAGCCAGTCGAATAATTCTGCAATAATACACGTTTTATTGATTTAAAAAATTTCCAAACGTATTATTTAAAGGAATAAATCAGTTTAAATATAAAATGTCATAATCTTTCGAAAGTTTCTATTAACGTAGAAAAATACTATTTAACCAAATTTCAGCTCATATTTCAGCTCATTCTCATCTGGAAAATTTTCCGTGTTCTTATATGTGGCATTCTTCTCCTCTTTAATCTTTATATACTGAACGACCTGTCGATCGATCGATTAAGCATGAAATAACTACAAATCAAACAATATTCAAAATACGTACAAAGCAGTTACGAAATCATGTACAAGTTTAGAGGTATTATTGCGTAAAGTACTAACAGTGCTGTAAATTTCTCTTTTTTAATCTCTTCTTTATTATTTTCTTAAGCAAAATATATATCAATCGAGACATTATTATTCATATGAATTCCTTATGTGTATGTGTCGATGAAACTGAAGACCCGATTGTTTGAAATCGAATCTCATAGTGTCTTCCTGTACCTTTCAAGCATTTATAAACGTGCTGTTATAATCCTTAAGATTATATTTATCTTAAGATACTTTTTGCAGATTCGTTTTTACGCAATGCGACAAAATTCATCTCCCTGGGGATCGCCCTGGAACAAAAAAAATAATCACATTTCTGTAGAACAAATTGAACACATGATACTGATTAACCCAGGCAGCGTGACGTGACTACAAATAATCCTTATTCGTGTTCATTAGTTACAACATGTTTTAGCAAAGATTAATGAGTGTTAATCGTTTCTATTGAAACCGGTGAAGAGAAGCAATTGTTGCGTGTTTATCTGTGCATGCATATAAAGATGTAAATATACATACACACTGTACAACGTGTTCACGCGTATACATGATTCTTACACCATTAATTTTATATAATAATGTATTATCCGATAAGATCGTAAGTATGTAAGATTGATTACAAGTGTGTGATAATAATATACCACTGATATCACGTTATATATGATACCGATGATAATGTTTTATTACCAGAAAATGTATTCATTAATAGTATATCTAAAAGACAATGTGGTTAACTAATGAAATGTTTACATTTTACGATTATATTATCTTAAAACACTCATGATGTTATAGTTAAGCGAGAGCATGAAAATAAAATGCTGTGAAGAAGAAAAAACAAAGCCAAATAATTTTTTACACTTGAAGCGCGGAAAAAATTAATAATCGCCGCCTATTTTAACGATTGATAAGTTGAAAACAACTTACATAAATCGACCCATCAGTACCATTTGGTCACTCACTTAATATGGGTAGAGATATCTTCTCTATGGAATAAGAAGATGTTGTTGGTAACATACACCCCGAATTTATCATACACATATGATTTATACAATTAATAATAGAACTAATAAAGAAAGCATGGAACTTTGGTAAAGAATTCTATATATAAAATTATTATAGCCACATTGTCTTCCTTAATTAAACTTGTAACAAAAACTGAAAAACTGCTGACAACCTTCAAACTAGTTTTAAATTTGTGTGTTCACTACCACTGGCAAAATTTATAGAAAAAAAAAATAGATTTTAAAAGAAAGTAGCATGTAAAGAGATATTTCAGCTGCGATTAAAAAGTATAAAAGCTAATTAAAACCGATAGATAGTATTTTGTGTAACAATTATGTATTATTTACATACCTCTTGATGGTGAAGTTCCTCAGAAGTTCTAAAACCCAAGTTTTCTCTATGCCGAGACATAGTTTTGGACAACTGTTGCCTTTTGCATTCTGAAGTGGCCATTTCCTGTTTATAAATAAGTCATTTTTAACATTCATTGAAATTATTATATAAAATAAAAAATTGGAAATGTTTCACAAAACTTACTTCGCCATCATTGTTAAGAAGCGTAGTTGACATAGCATCTGCTGTAAACCATTTCTGACCCTTCATGACAATATTTGATGGCGGTTCGTGTGTAGCACCAATATCTGATGACCATACCATTACAGTTGCACCTGCATCTATCTTTGCAGTACGATGAAATTTAAATACTGTTTCCAAAGAACCAGCTTTACGAATAATTTGCCACCCACTGAGACCTATTTCCTGCAAAAAATAAAAACAATTTCACATTCACTATTACGTGAAAGATAAAGTAATAACTATTTCCATCTTAATGTATTTAAAAGTATGTATTGCAGCAAATATTTGAAATTCATATGATTTGTTTTTTAATAAGTTAGTAATAAGTATATCACTTATCATTACTAAGTATACTCTTATTTCCGTGAAGAAATAACAAATAATTCTTACTCTCCCAGTTTTGAAAACATTAATACAATAATAGGTAGTAACATTTCGCCTTATAAAAGACAATAAATGTCATATTTTAAGTTGATCTTACTTTGTTGCCTTTGTTGGTGAGTTTCACAAAGCGTCCCTGAGGATCAGCTTCTGTAATTTCTACATCTCCTCTAGCTGTTCCAGTTACACTATAATCTGTACTACTGCGTTCTTCACTCTCTTCCAACAAAGTGCGTTTTCGTTTTCCTCCTCTTAATGGTGTATGACGTGAAGGAGTACTTCTACCGCTTGGTGCTGCTGAACTTGATTGTGTAGGATGAATATTTAACCTGAAAATAAACAAGTTCTATTAACAGTTTGTAGGAGGGGAGGCTGTAATTACAATCCAAAACAGAACAGACATTAAAAGCGGGAGACATACATTATTTTTACAAAAATAACAAATAAATCTATATATAATTAGTTAGTCTTTTGTTTACAAAATATTGTAAGTTGACATGTTGTCAGAATAACATGTTTTAAATATCAAACAGATTAGCTTCTAGTGTATAATAGAACGTTAGGTAGTAACATAAATACATTTGGATACATTCAACATTCTTAGAATTAGAACATGTTTATACTTGGACCCAAACACATTCATGTTGTTATCTAATACTTAGTCACGAGCTATCATGATAATATACTTTATTATTAATTATTGCGTATATAATATTCTTATATAGTCATGACATTAAAATACCTCGCTTCTTCAGATTCCAAAAGTTTACGATACGCAGCAATTTCTAAATCCAGAGCTACTTTAATGTCCATAAGATCTTGATATTCTTGCAGTTGTTGAGCCATCTCATTACGCACACGTGATAATTCTGCTTCCAAGGATGCCAAATTTTCTGCATGGCGTGTCCTCTCATTTTCACGAAGATTCTCTAAATCTCTGTACAAAAAATATTACATAATAATTACTCAGTATTACAAGAAATTGAAATAAGCATATATAAGTACTTTATATAAATAATACCTGATTCGTGCATTAAGAGCATTATTAGTTGCTTCTAGCTCATTAATCTTTTGATTAAGTCCCTCAATCTTCGTTCTTGTTTGTCTCAACTCCTCAACAGCTAAACTAGCAGCACCACTGTTACGCTGAGCATGAGCTGACAAATTTTTAATTTTATTTTCATATAGTAACTCAATTTCTTCTCTATTTGCTCGCATCTGTGCCTCATATTGATCTCGCAATTCTTGCAAAGAGTTTTGTAATTTTGCTTCATACTGTTCAGCAAGACGTCCATCTATTTCTGAGATTTCAATCTGAAATATTTCACAATCTAAATTAGTTATAGATTTCTAAATTAGATTGTAAAATTTAAAATATTTAAGAAATTAAGAAAATCAAAATACAATGAATACAATACAAAATTTAATGTGAACTTTATTAATAAGTAATCATTAAATTATATTAATTATATTTGTGTTTTAGTTTCAAAATACAAACCTGCCGTTTTGTTCTCGTTTCTGTTAATTCTTGTTGATAAATTTGATCTTTGAAGCTGATATCTTCCTTCAGACTCTGAATATTATTTTCAAGAACAACACGTTGCAAAGTTTCTTCGCTAAGATGTTTACGTGCATCTTCCAACAATACTTTTAATTTTTCAACTTCATCTTCCAGTTCTCTTTCCCTGTCAGCCAGTCTTTTACGTTCCGCTTCAGATTGATTATACTTTGATTGCAAATCATTATGACGAGTTTCGTACAATAATAAATTTCTTTCTGCAACTTGTAAGTCCCCAACTTTTTTACCCAATCTGAAAAGAACATTGAACATTTACTATATTAATACATATGACAGGTATTGTATGTAATTTAATATATTCAATTCTTGTACGTATCAAAATATTTAAGTTCCAATAATAATGAGTTTCAAAATGAATGTTTTAATTGAAATTAACAATTTTAACTTTTATCTTTTTTAACAATTAACAGTAAGCAATTCATGTCTCTAAGTAACTCAAAAAAGCAGAACTAAAAAAAACAAAAATATATAATGCCATAAGTAAATACTATATATAAAGAGAATGTTATCATAAACATATATATGTCTTCCAGCAAAATATTTAAATTATTTGAGTTTTTAATGTTTGTATGTAAATACACGTGTATATACTATAAAATATTGTGGTTCGTATTATATATGTAATATAGAAAGAATAGGAATATTAACTGTATTTTTTTTTAATTTTTATGTTTATTAACTTAAGCACATGCATCAAACTGCATGCAAAAGAAATACTTTAACAAAATTTTCATCATTTACGAAATTCCGGCAGTCGTGAAGAAGAGGTAAGCTTGCGTGTTTCTATTTTAGGCAACGACCCACATCGAGAATTTTTTCTGCTGTACTGTCTCGGGACATTTTAATATTCCGTTATTCTAAAACTTACAGTTTATCAATATTATCTAATAATATCAGTTAAATAACAAAAAGAAAGCAATAAATTTGTGTAAGGTATTAATGTTATGTAAAACATTTACGTAATGCAAAAATAATGATACATATAAGAATCGGTAAAACAAATATCAGGCATACACATTTCACAGAATGTTAATATTTGCAAAATAAAAAAAAGGTCATCGATTAAACATAAATTGTACGGATGACCACATTTTTTCTCCAGAAATGCTGAGTTCGTATTTTCATACCAGGACGCACGTGTTCTGTCGTTAACGCCGTTCTTTTTATGGAAAACGTCTCTTTTTATAACTGTTACAGATGCAAGGTTACCATTATATATTCGCTTCGTGCAATGCTATCAACAAGATAACTTTCCCCAAAATCATTTCGAATTATCGTGAGTTCAGAGGAGAATTAAACAAGAATAAAAATAAAAGAAGAATAAAAGAGTTCGGGAGAACTAAAAAATTGATTGGCTTTTCTGACTGAAGATTCGAAGATTTTTATGAAGCGTCGACTTTATAAAACAAAAAAGCGAATAAGGCAGGGGGTATTCGGTTGACAGAACCCCTTGCGGCGTCAACCAAGATGGCCGCACGGCTTAACGTGGAGTTAGCCGTTATTTGAATAAATCTTTATTTGAACAAAATACAGTCATATGTTATAATTCTTGATTCTTGTAACGAAATAACGCGAAAGTTAGTTTAAAATGAACGAGTGATATTGAATATGTAACAAACATATCCGTTTATTTTTAAATATATGATTTTATTAATTTTGTCCTTCATTTCATTGATCGTAGAGAATAAAATTTCCCGTTTGTTTCAGGATTCTACTCGTATTTTTATCGATTGCTCAACACTCTGCGAAAGGAGGTCAATGTTTTCAGTCGAGGTTATACATGCTGTTGAGGATGACATCACCGTCGCATAGTAAGCGTGACGCAATCGGTTGTGGCAACGTCACGTTTCAAGTTAGGCACACCCAGTATTCCAAAATTTTCGGGTTATACCCTTTCACGGAACCTTTTATAGATTCTGCATGCTTTTTAATAATAATCAAGCCATACATTCGGAACAAATTACATAATACGAATCCATTATTTGCTTGCAACATATTTTCCTTGTCAAGCAAATGGAAATATTACTGCCTTGTGGAATCAAACGTATGCTATAAATATAGTACATTATACCATGCAGTATACCTTGAAAATTCTTATCATTCCGCGCTTACGGCATGAAAATTTATCTAAGAATACCAACACGTCTGCCTCAATGAAATGTACACGCCTATTTCTTGAATATCTGTCATATTAGTAGACTTATTGGAAAGTGCTTTCTATGTCTAACAAATCTTAAAAATTCAATCAGATGCCGTGCATATTAATTTTATCGTAAATATTTTAAAATTATTCTTTTTTTTGCTTAATATAAAATAACAAAAATTATTATAAAATTATAAACATATATTAAATAAATTTTCATTTAAAGAAGTTAAGTTAAGTAACTATTACATTAAAATATATCTAGCAATTAAACAAATAAAATTAATAACATTTGATACAAGGAAGCTTGAGTTATCATTAGCCAAATATGAGACAGGTAGAAAAGAAAAACAGTTGTGAGCATCTCATTAAATATTTATGCTGATACTTATCTGTTAGTAGGGCAATTACTTGTTATAGGAACAGGAAATATAAAATCACTTATAGTATGTAAATATTTCGATGTTGCAATCAACAGGGTGTAAACAAACTTGGATGCACAAAAACAACATGCAATCTTAATTGACATGTATCATGTAAATGGCAAATTAAAGTAATTACATGTTTATATAATTTTTATCACAGAAAATTATTGAATTAATATTTCATTACAAATATAAATATTTAATAATCCTTCCACTACTTTTATTTATGACTAATATAAGAAGACAAATTATATATGAATGCATACATACATAAAGATAAAATTTAGAATAGGCGTGTGGTAAAACATTAAAAATCATTGAAATACAAAATTTCGAAGCAATTTTGTATCACATGACAACTGGTCTCCTTGTATTTTTAAAATCAATTGCTATACCTTTTAGAAACCTGTAGGAAAACCTACTATAATACAAAGTATGTACAAAGTATAGATTATTATACACACTGTGTAAAATTGGCGGCAATTTATTATACGTTAACAAAGCAAATAAAAATATTTAAACGACTAAAAATCTTGTAACAGTCTCGACCCCCATGAGATGCGTAGACTGATATATTTGTGACGAACATTAATTTAGCAAAAAGGACATACAAAACACAAGGCAAGAAGGTACTTACTTAGATTTTAATTCCTCGTTGGTGTCCCATAATCGTTTGGTATCAATCTCGAGTTTTGCTCGTTCTCTCGCAGTGTCATCTAATAATTTCCTTGCATCGGCCAATTCGTGTTCGTATATTAACTTTATGTTGGATGCTTCGCGAGTGATAGTCTCCTTGGTGGTCTCAACCTCCCGCGACAATCTGGAATTCTCGGATTCCAAATGCCGTACTTTATCAATGTAACAGGCCAACCGGTCATTTAGATTCTGTAAATCTTGCTTCTCCTGGAGACGAGAATAACGAGTCGGACTTAAAGGACTACCCGGCCTTTGGCCGATTGGCGTTGACGTGAATTGCGGCGACTGCACGTTACTGGTCGAGCTTGACGCCGAAGACTTCTTTGCTGCTTTCGTTGACATTTTCTCACAGAATTCAATCTCCTTTATTGCACTATCACTGAGCCTCTCACTATCGAGTCATCAACTTGGTGCACGATAACACCGTGTCCGTGAAAGACGCTCAAAGCAATTAAAAAAAACTACCGAAGCCCAATTCCTCTTGCCTCAGTCAACGGAAGAACTGTTTAGCGGAGACGCCAACGTTAACGAAGCAATCTCTTTACATGCATCCTTATATTGCGTCAGTAACGCAAGGGAACGCTCTGATAGGTCGTGTTTAATTTCATACCCGGACCGCCAACCAATTGTATGCCCTTCTCTTTTAGCCAAGGACCAATAGGAAATGGTTTATCACTACAAAACGCGTCATTTTTAAACACTGCTTCTACCACACTATTATATCAAATTTCCATTTTATAATTTCAATTTATTTCGAATTTATAATTATACAAAAATATATGCTTGAGAATTAATGATTGATTTTGATTTGTTCTAAATTCATTTAGATTTTATTTAAATAAAAATTCCATACTGTTGCTTTTATACAATTTATTATATAATGATATGAACTGGAATCAATTTTACACAATATTTTATTACAATTTAAGTAAATTAAAATATTGTTTTCAGTGTAATGATGCCACTGTAATTATAAACCATTTGCATTCATAAGGGAAATATTCTATACTTATATCGATAGATAGATGCATTTAACTCCTTATTGCAAATGGATATATAAAGGTTAAAATAAATAAAACAATTAATAATTACATATAAAATAATTGCAATGACAGTAATGATATAAAAGGTCATTAGGGGTAAGTAGGGATGCCGTTGTATTTTATCCCTACACACACATTGGTTTGATTGTTTGTAAGTTAAAAAGCTAAAATTAAAGAAAGTATGAATAATATTTAATTATTTAACTTTTTTACGTACAATATACTGAAATAATGAAAACGTCTAGTACAACATAGCAAACACTGGTTTATTCTGCTTAAGTTTATTATTTAACATTTAAAGTACCGAAATGATCACTAGGGGGCGGTAGATAGAAACTTTTAAAATGCCTCTGGCAACTGTAGACGTTGGTGTTGTGAGCACGTAAATATTATACATAAGAAGTAATTTCCGTACATCAATCATAAGAAATAAATGTGTTTTACAGACAAGAAGTTCATTTGACGTTGCATCATAAAAAAACTAGTGCATAAAGATCTGTGATAAAGTTACTTGCAAAAAATTACATAAACCAATACTATGATACTCTATTTCTTTTTTACAAAGTAATATTTAATCTATGTTTCTAACGTTTTAGTATTATCATTGAGATTAAACAGAAGGGATACCAATGCACAAAAATATAAACATGTGCGACCTCATAGATTTAAATAGTCCTGACAGAAAGGACTTGCTAAGTTGTAGACTTGCATCGCCTTTAATACCTGTTCCTATAGATACAGCAAACAGTAATTATAATAATCGCACTAACAATGTAAATTCTGTGATGACTGGAAAACGTGAGAGTTTAGAAAATAATCCTTTTGATATGGTACTACATAAAACTACAGAATACAATCAAAAAAAGAATGATCCTTTTGAAGTGACTTTAGAAAAGGCACTCAAAGCAAAATGTAAAAAAAATGCTGCATCGAGAACATATGCTGTTGATTTTACTGATGACTACACACCCAAAAAACGAACGAAGAATTTTCAGAGATTAAAAATGAATAAGACATTGGATGAATCTTTAATTAATGAGGAATTACAACAGGAAAGCCTAACTACCAATAAGATATTCAACGAAAATGTAGTGCTCGAGTTAAATGAACTTGATGCGTTAACTGATAATTTAAAAACTGTTGATGTATCTGATAACTTATTATTTTCAAATAATAAGAATGTTGCACCTACTATAGAAATTCAAGAGGCTAATTTATCCATTTTAAATCAATCCATAATGAATGATACATTGTTTGATGCAGAAAGGGATATAGATAATGACAATCACATTAAACTCTTAACAAATTTGGAAGAAGATACAAATAATACTAGTCATATTCCATCATCTGTCACATTATTAAAACCACCAAAATTTCGACGTTCTTTTTCACAACCAGAAAATGTAACATCAGTAATGTCAGAATATTCGCATCGTTTATCAATAGTCGAAACTATACAAACTGAACATGAAAGTAAAAATAGTTTATCACCTTCACTTCATTTTTTAAACGAAGGTTTTTTGAAAAGTTATAGTGGGAGTTCTATGTTTACAAGTTCATCAAGTATTTCTTCTATTGCAAGAGTAAATTCTATTTCACCTATAACTAATACATCAATAGCTTTATCAAACGGCACCTTTAACAGAGCATTTTTAGAAAGTTTTTCCTCTGAAAAATCAGATACTACAACATTAAACAAAAAACTAAGTCCTACAAAAGAAGTCAATTCTGTATTATCAACTACAAAAAATTTAGGAACATCAGTAGTAAATATTTCAAAAAGAACTAGGTCTTCGATATCCGATTTAACAGATCGACTTAATAAACTTAAAGCGAAAGCTTCAGAACTTCATGTTCTTGAAGATAATACAAACAAAGAGAATGAAACCAGTCCTAGCTCTTCTAATAATGTTAAAGATTGTGTAAAGAATGTGATAGAACAAGCGGAAGAATGTGATATGAATAACAGACTGATAGATGTTGATATATTTTCACCTGAAACAAATTATAGTGCAGATCAATATAAGAGTTCCATTTCGGATACATCATCAGATTCTGTATTTCTTGTAAGCATATTTTTATATTTAAAAAAACGTTAATAAAACATACTATATCTATAAATATGAAGTAAAGAGTGTATTTATTTAAATATATCTATTTTAAATTTTAGGATGGTAACAAAGTGAATAAATCAATACTTCATGAAGCAAAACTTCTTGCTAGAACTTTCGAAGAAATGGCTTTAAGGACAAGTTCGGGATGTAAGTTCGTATTATACTTAACTGACAAATGATAAAAACAAAGGTTAAAAGATCTGTAATATTTATTTTATTATTTAGCAAGCATTGATGACTTGATTACCAACAATCCATTATGGACATCTGAGTTACTTCCAGCTTTTGATGATGAAGTTGATAATTTAATTGAATTACCCACATCTCCAAATACAAATAATGCAAATTTAAATTGTAGAGAAGTTAGTAGTTCTAAAGACAGTGTTTCATATACAAATGAAAAATTTGTTGCTAACAAATCGATGGATAATGTAAAAGATTTAGAAATGGAACTGATTGATCCAATACCTACCGAAAAACGTATCACGGCAGCTTCGCTTGTATTGGATCTGAAGAAATTAATTAATACAGAAAATAATACAGAAGCGAATAAATTATTGGAAAATTTAGAGAAAGTTTTAGGTATTAATTGGGAAAGTAATACTGAATTATTAACCACTTATCTTAATCTAACTAATAATTTAGCGAAAAGTCCACTCAGGTCAAGTAACAACTTGGAAATGAAAAATGTAGCAGAAAATAATATGGAGTATAGTCAAGAGGATAATATAACCAGCGAGTTGTCAGAGAATATTAAAGAATCAGCATTTAGTGTAAATATGAATATTAATGATTCAAGCATAGATAAATGCTCTACTAGTGGTGAAAAATGTTTTAAAAAAATCCATAGCGAAACAAAAAAGTCGTCAGAAGAATTGAAAATTAGTAATGAAAAAATAAATAACGAAAATAAAGAAGATATCACTGCTCAGAATAGCAATAAAGAAGATGCTGCATGCAAAACAGAAAATACCAATTCTTTAAATGAGAAAATGGTAATGGAACTTCTTGTACACTTGGGAAAATTATTAACTGGTCAGGCTAAAGAACAGTCTACAGTGAATTTATTTCATAATTTCGAGAAAGCATTGAATTTAGTTTCTAATAATTGTAATGAAAATACAAAAACAAATAATAATGAACTAGAAGTTCAACAAATATCAGAAAAATCTAAATTAAAACATGAAAATAAAACACAGTCTTCGGCTTTATCAAAATCTACTAACAGATGGAGTTTGGATTTGGAATCAAAGGTAAATATTGTATTATAAAAAACAAATAAATGTATTAAATATTATTCGATAAACACTGGTATAATTTTGTAGAAACAACCGATCAGCAAATCTTTTATGAGAAAGAGCATATCAGTATCACAAACTGCACCAGTTAAAATTGTACCAAGTCCAGTAATGTTGAATGGAAAAAGTACAATTCAACTCAAGGAAGTTACAAAACGTTTTTCTAGCGATCCCGGTTTTATTAGTCCAATGACGAATAAAAAAGTTACTTCAAATAATAATAAACATGATTCGGAAAAGAGTAATATTTTGTTTAATATAATTAATATATGATTGAATACAACTAAACTATAATGTTGAAGTAAACAATTATTTATAATTATTTTTAGTCGCAGAAATAAAGACAGTTGTAACGTCAAATTTTGAGAAAGAAAAACCTACCATCGTTAACACTGTTAAAACTAAGTTGAAGAAAAACGTTAGTGTAGATGTTATAAATAAAAGGGGGCCAATGAAAGCTATTCTTCCTATAGGAAGTATGCAGAAACGAGGTATGTTTAAATAAGTAACTGTCTTGATATATTATTTTTAAATTATTAACTCTTGGAATATTTGTATTATAGAATCCATTAACAGAAGAATAGTTTCATCCACTGAAACTATAACACCACCCAAGGCTCATAAAATAATTAGTAGTACACCGAATTCTGTAAATAATAAATATTCAGTAAAAAAATCTGCACGATCTTCAAAACCAGTAGCTTCATCAACTCCAGATGCTTGTAATTCTAAAACACGCAAAATACCCTCGCAAATTAGCAGCAATGCAAATAAACGCAACTTTGGATGTGATATTTCACCTGTAACTACACGTGTCGATATCAATAATAGTAATGGTGTGAACTGCAGTCCAAAAAGGTATGTTTCACTAAATTACATTTTGCAATGAATATTATAATATAATCTATTTTCTTTTAAACGCAGCAAGTTACCATCTTCAAAACGGACAACTCCTAAACGCCGTTCAGCAGATTCTAGCATACCAAGATCTCAGACTCCTCCTATAAATAAAAAATTAAATTCGTCGTTTGATGTTAATCAGTACGAGCGATTGACTGAATCACCGCAGCGTTCAATATATAAAGTATCAAACACCCAAAAAAATTCACCGGTTTCTTTAAAAAAGAATGGCAATAACATGCAACAAAGTCCTTTGAGAGACAGTAATAAACTTATGCATAAAGTGAAACCAATCAATTTGGTACATATAAAATCGTATCACGATAACAAAGCAATTAAATTGAATATACGCAATTAATTAAAATTTATTTTTTAACAGATCTCGAAACTCCGCCGACACAGTGTTGGTAATCTAACGGAAAAGGAAAATAATTATATTTAACTTGCGATAAGAGATAATTTAATAATTAACGAGGGTTGTGTAATTAAACGTTTAACGTGAGTATTTTTTTATCTTTGGAACTTTTGTACCTATATATTTTACAATAAAGTATTTGTTTGAAATATGAACTGCGTATCATTATTTCCTTTTATAGGATACTATAGCGATAGTTGTACTCCTTGTTTTTATTGTATTACAGAATAAATACAATATAATACAACGAACATTAATTGAATAATCCATTGATTACGTTCTCATGCATTCGCATAGAGAATATTTCTTAGCCAATAGAAAACTGTATATTTTGATTAAAGAAGCACAGATCGTCACGATTAAAACAATCAATTTAAAAGTAAAAATATTTAAACGTGCCACGTGCTGTAGGTAACTTAAGATTTGCTTACGATCTGTTGCGTCAGATCCGTCTATCTGAAAACAGGCTCAAAAGGGAGCTACTCGGCCGGGAACGAGGACAGCAGCGCTCGAGAATGGCCGATACGTCACGGTCGTTTCTAAAATCACAGACGCAGTAACGTATCATACATACTTGAATCGCACTGAAATTTTTTCACGGTTTTCCTTCTAATTTGAAACTGCGTCGCGATGTCCGCGTCACTTAATATTTTTCTACATTTGGCTGCGACGCAGTGCTTTGAATTTCATCGGATTAGAGAAAAAATGGGAAATTCCTAACAAAAATTCAATTTTAAATAGGAAAAATATTATTCTTTCGCATAAAACAGGAATGAGTAGTTATCTGCAGAAAGGTAAGATTTTTTCAGTTTCGTTGGTGCAAAAGTTGAAACGGTAAAAGAGAATGAAAACGTTGGGACAATCGCCCCTTAAGAAAGAAGGAAAGTAGTAATAAAAGGAGAACGACTAAGTCGGTGAAAGCGATGCGCAGAAGCCGGTTCCTTGTAGGGTGCTGACAAAGGTATCGCCGCGCCTGTACGGACCCGTCCCCGCAAAAAGTGCGCTCCGCGTGCTCCGTACTCCAGCGGCGGTCCGTCCACACTCGCGTGTAGCCGCACCCGGCTTGGCGCTCTTCGGTTTTCACGAAATAATTCGCAGTCGCGACCGTGGGGAAGTCCCGTCGTCGGTGTAAATGATTTTTCGTGAATTGTTGGAAGTGACAGTATCAGTGAAGTGAAGTGCGCCGCAATTTGCACGGAGTTCGATCTTTTTGGGCGTTCTGTAGGAAGGAGAGCTGGCGCGGCGCGCACGAGAGGCCGCCTCTAGAAAAAGAGCGCGTCTCGCGCGTTGCGCTACATTGGAGTCCGCGATATGCCCGAGAACGCGTAAGACCGACGTTGCGAATTCGAAAGGAAAACGCGTCCGCCTGACAAGCGGTAATGATCGAATAAGTCGTACGCCGAAAATTTTTCAAGTTGCGGATCGCCGAGGGGATTTCGGCCGGTCGAGCCGGGAGCGAGAGAGAGAAGAGGCTGGCGCGCGGCGAGGCCACCTCGGTAAAAGACCGCGTCTTGCGGGTTCAGCGATGTGCTGCGGTGCCTATTGTGTGCGATACGATCGTTGAAGCTTATCGACATTCGTGGAATCGTGTCGTACATGTCACCCTGCCGTATGATAAACGATAGATCGACGAAGGATTTATCGAGCAGCCCGTGTACAGTGTCAACGCGTACCCGCGGAGACGTATACGGGGAAACGCAACCGGCGGCGATATATCCCGCGTGGTACGTATACGCACGTATACGGACACACGTAACAGCGCACATACGTGTGCCATGCACATTTGCAAAGGACTGTGGTCTCGTGGAATCGTCGTTTAGTCGCGTGTATCGAAGTGGCCTGTCGCGAAGCGCGCTTAACAGAGAGATCCAACACCGTGGAAAACGTGTCTGTCGGAACGCACGACGAGGGAGAGAGGAGGAGAAAGAAATAGAGAGAGCTAGAGAGGGGGAGAGAGTGAGAAAGAGAGTGAGAGGGAGAGAAATCGGTGAAAGAGGAGAGGTGTCCGTCGTTCGACGATTGGCGCGTGGCGTAGACATTCGACGGTCACTTGGCACGTATGTAGTGCAATTATTCCCCGGTTATCCCGTTTCGTCCCCGTGAAGCATAAGCATTATTTATGGGTGCATGGATCGGTGCATTTCCAAAAACGAAACAAAAGACGTGGAACGCAACCAGTACACCATCAGCGAGAACACGGTTCCCTTTGTTCGACTCGGCAATACCTCGATAACGATTTGTTCGAATTTTAAATCGCGTTCAACGATTACCGGAAGGAAGTTACGTACGCGGCTAGTAAAATATACCGACATCGAAAGTGCGTACAAAGGGTGTGAAATGCGTCGCGCTGCAGTTCGATGTTCGATCCAGCAGCGACGGACGACCTGACTTTGTCAGATTGCCTCTCGACGTCGTCGCGGCTGCCGCCGCCGCCGCCGCTGCCGCCGCCGCTGCCGCCGTTGTCGCCGTCATCGTTATCGTTGTGCACCTCTCGGCTTCAGTCCAACAATGGATGAGCGCAGCTGCAGAACACAATTCGAAATCTTCTCCCGGTAGCGGAACACAGGCGGATAGAAAGTGATCATTCGTTTAGTCGGGATTGTGAACCGCGTTTAATCGTTTTGCGCCCGGTGATTAACGTTGAACAGACATTTCGCGCGTTCTATATGCGCCATAGATTTCGCACATTATTGACTTCGTCGATCCGTGCAATCGATAATATTGCATCACGAGTTAACAAGTTTCTTCGATTGTTGTTGCCGCCTTACCGTTTCCGGCCGGATATATTCGCTGAATTATAAAAAACGAAGGGAAATTGCACGCATCGAGATGCGCGTCGGAACGTTCTACACTTTATTGTAAGACGTCACTCGAATTTGTTTATGTATAGGCGCGATTCTGCGCTTGATATAAAACGGTCCCCGAGCTGCGTCCTGCCACGAGAATCATCGACTTTTTATTCTGCGCATCGTTTCAAATGTTAATCAAGAACTTTCGGTATTCCAACAATGAAATAATAAATCAAAGCATGCATTTTTAAACGGAGTTCCATAAAAAGAGATAAATACAGAAATCTAGCAAAGAGCGACAAAGTGATACACCCCGAGGCAAATACATGCGGAGATATATAGACAGACGCCGGTCGTTATGATATCGCGCGCGAATGATACAAACACCATAAAAACGCGCAGGAGGTACTGTGAAAATTATTTCGACGTTCTCATCGAACATTATACAGCTATACATCCGACAACATCGCATTACAACGTGAAACGATTTATCGACGTATAATAATGCAGCAACACCGGGTAGAAACACAAATACTCCACGAGGAGCAGATCCTGGAGGCAATAGATCAGTTGCGTCGCCGTAAAGCGCGACCCGACGCCGACCGTATCTGCAATTATTTATTACGGAAATTCTCCGTAGATGCACGCGATACGATAGCCGATCTTCATAGACTGATCGAAGCGGAGAAGGTGATTCAGGTGGATTACAAAGGTAACACCAGTTACCGAAATGCCTCGAAATGGTCGCGATTGCAGCTTTACAAAAATCGACCGGAGGGTTTTGTCAAGGAGAAATTGAATTCCGGGATGGTGGCGGGTGCCGTTGCCGAGCTCGTTGTCGAAGAGCCGGATTACCTGGACCAGGGTGTACCAGCATATAGGTTGGTCGAGCAACTGCTCGATGGTGTCTCGAATCCTACGTCCAGGCGTATGGTTGAGGATTTCCTTGGGAAAGAAGTAGCCAGCGGAAATTTGACGCGTCTCTCTAACGGCAATTACTCGCTGGTGGCGACGTCTGACATGACAACCACCGCCGAACCAACGCATCGAGAATCTTTCACCCTTGAAAATGGAAACGCGCGACGCAAGGAATTGCACACTGTTTCATCGACAACGGGTGGTCTGTACGATTTTGACGAGACTGAGAACTTGACAATTACGGATTCTAGGTCAAACACGCCGAGATCCTCGCGTCAAGCTAGCCCGAAGCCTGATCCACAGATCAGAAAGGAAGAATGTTTTGAAATAATTGTTGGCAGGAACGAAAATACCGAATCATCCGCGGAACATGACTCTCTAAAGGAGCAGGAATCGCAGGAACCTACGCAAACGTCTGTCGAGGATGTAAAAGATGAATCAAAAACCACGGACAGTCAGTCTCATAACCTCAAAAGGTCATCGAAAGCTGAGCGTAAACAGCGCTTACTTGTTCGAACAGATGATCCTATGGACATAGAGATCAAGTTTGAGGATTATCGGAAAGATATTAAAGAAGACACGAATTTGCAGAAAGAAAAGAGAGATGAAACTGGACATCTTAGCGAAGAACGAGAAGACGATGATGCGGGACGAAGTTCCACTAATCCCTCGCCAACACCATCCAGTGTTAATGTCGGTGGATTCCGTAGTGCACGCAGAAAGGTATATCTTATTTAATTGAATGATTATAAACGGAAATTAACACTAGTTGCTGTGTGTTTAATCAAAGAGATGTACAATATTACAGTAATCAAAAATGTGTTACAGAGGGCAAAAAAGGTATTTGATCCTTCCGACAATAATCTTGTGAAACGGAAACGTGGAAGACAGTCTGGTTCCCAAAATAAATCTTCTTTGTCTCAAGAATCTCAAGACACTTCTAAATCGACTGTTAAAGATGGACCTTGTAGGCAATGTAGCCTTTGTGCCAAAGAAAAGCAAGAAAGCTTGGTTGCTTGCAGAGACTGTACCGTAAGAGGTATTTATCTTGTTATGAGTGTTACAAATTTCTCACATTAACGCATAATAAATTAACATCTTCTTTTTCTTTTCTTACAGCACATCCAAGTTGTATTTATAGTCCAGAAGAAATGATTCAAAAGGCAGGTAGTAATTGGCAGTGTGAAAGGTGTAAGAGTTGTACGATATGTTGTGAAACTTCAGATGCGGTATGTTAGTATTAAGAAATGTAATGATACTTTTCCTTTTTCATATACAATAATTCATTTTCTTTATTCAGGGTCCACTTGCCACGTGTTTTACATGCGATGAAGCTTACCATTACTATTGCCACACTCCACGCATAATAATACCTAAGTCAAATTCGAAATGGCAATGTAATGATTGTATCCAAAAACAGTATAAACCAAGTATAAACCAGAGTATTAGTCTGGTTACTAATAGACCAGATACTCCATCGAATCCACCCGTTTTACCTCCAGTTTTAAGTCCTCAAGTTTCCCCTGCCAGAGGATCTTCGGATCAAATGGAGGATGATGGTCCAAGAGATGGAATTGATCCAAATATACCTGATGCTTCGGATTGGACATCTGAACAAGTATACCAGTATTTTGCGAGACTTTTCCCAAAGGAAGCAGAAGTGTTCAGACAACAGGTAACTTTTTTCCATTTCTTCTCTTTTTAAACAGGACCACGTTTCTTTTAAACGTTTTTATTAATTGTTATTATTTTATTCATATGTTTCAGGACATTGATGGCCACTCCTTATTGTTGATGAAACGATCGGATGTTTTGAGTGGACTTGATCTGCTTTTAGGTCCAGCATTGAAAATATATAGACATGTGTTAAAATTGCAAGTGAGAAGAGACGATCCGAAACTTTATTGGCTGTAAATGCTTTAAAAACTGAAATAGTTAGGATGATTTTTAAAGAAGATTGGTGATTTATCATACTGTACAGATAAATTCTTTTTACATTTAAGGATCATGAATATTTTTTTGATTCGAGATACTTTTTCATATTGTACATACTGCAGTTATCTTGAATTAAAAAAATAATTCTTTAATATAAAAATAAGATAAAATAATTAAAAAATAAACAATGTTGTTTGTTTTCTATCCAAATACTTTTGTATTGGATAGTTTTGTATAGCTCACCGTTCATGTGCGTCCCCGTATTATAATGATAGAATGTACTTTTTTGTTTATTGATTGTATATCAATACTTCTGAAAGGTGCTGATTTTTTCACCTGTTATACATGTTAACGTTAATCTTTTGTTCCACGATGAAAATTCTAAAAATTGTTCTGTTTAAATAAAACATTCAAGTACGAGGAAAATAATAAATAATGTTTTTCCACCTTTGTATTATTTTTTATTTTTTACAATATATAGCAAGATAACAAATATTTATTAATAATACAGTAAATTTGTCAATATCCAATGTAAGGAACATGATACTTTGGTTTCAAATATACTTTCTTATACATTAAACATATCAGTATTTATAATGCAATACATCACACTAAATTACACGTTTAATTCTGCCTTTAAGTAAAAATTCTATTATTATTATTATTACTTTCATAATACACATGAGAATTATGTTTTGGGTGTAACTATTGATTCCTTTTAACAGAATAAAATTATAGTTTGGTAATTTTATTAATACTGGATGGAAAAACTAATTTTTTAAATACTTCATAAAATAGATTTTTGTAAATGAAATTCCGTTATAGCATATTTAATAATAATTAAAGGTTACTCGTAGAAACTTATTCTTTAGAAATGCACATAACGATTTGGTGATTTACAACAATACCTTATGTACTCCTGCAATATTGAATTCATAATATTTACATTTATATAATAATCAATGTATTCAGAAGGTTATTAATATTTAACCTAATTTAATATAACAAGATATACTTTATAATTTTTACTCCATTTAAAGAATAATATAATAATATCAAGGAAATTCAAGTTCACAGTTTTAATCATTTTTGGTAGTCATATAAATACTTTATCACCTCCATTATTTTAAATCACATTAAATTCTGAGGAATTGCACATTTAATAATTCACAGAATACTAGTATGAAGACATTAATACTTCTGTTAATATATATGTAAGTAATGTCTTATGCTGTTTATATAATTACACATCAATTTACACTTTGGGAGAAAATATTGAGTTTATACATTCCAGTACAATATAAATAAAGTATGTTATGGAAAAATCTTAAATTGTATCTCAATAATTATGTATATATTCGTTATTTGTATATTATGTGATATATCATATCACATTGCAAAATTCCACCAAAGTAAAATAGAGTACATAATATTTCAGAACTATTTTCAATCTCACATTGTACTATGTTTATTTCCACAATTGGAATACTTTACTTTTTCCTGTATAGCATGTAGGAACAAAACGAACATTTTTAAACAATAACCACTATACATTTATAAACAATACATCAACTCAATTTAATAATTTGCTTTAATGAAAAATTTAAACCTCTATTATACTATAATATTAAAAATTTAGAATATAAAACAGCAAACAATAAAATAGTATTAAACCAACAGTAATTTAGTTAATATATAAAGATAAATATTCTACAATTTGTAATCTACATTGAAGTTACAGAGAATTACCTTTCTAAAAAAATAAGCAAAATGAATAAAAATTCTATAGATATAAACAGATATGCAATAAAATATTCTATTATATATGTGTTCCGACATTAAAGTTAGAACATTTTTACCTGCTATGAATAAATTATACTTAGAAAAATAATATACAGTGATAAGTTCACAAGTTTTTGATACTTATTAAATGGTTAACAAAGTACATAATTTGCAGTCTTGCATATGTGCATTTTCTTTATCATTCGATGATGGTTCTGTTATTCTTTTTACAAGAGAAAGAAAGTTAATAGTAACAATTCTTATTTGCTTTTATAAAAAACAGTATTAATTTGTATAAAATAATTCCAGTATATATATATATATGTGACCGTAAGTTTCTTCCAGAAAATATTTTGTATTCTATTTTATAATTTATTTTGATTTTTTCCTTGTATATGTCAAAATTTTAATTAATTGTTTAAGGCTGTATCTTTAAGTATATATTTTAAAAGCTTAGATATATGGCTATGAATGATTTCTTTTTTAAACTGAAAGTACAATTACTATTTTAATAATCTTACAATATTCATTGCTACTATACATAATATAAACATAGTTTTTCAAAACTGTATTAATATACTTCAATTTAAATAGTTCTGAAGATCATTTAAAAGTTATGGCATTAGAATAATTAGCTAAACTTTCATATTAATTTATGGTACATCGACGATCTCAGAATACTTTGGAGGAGGTTGTTTATACAGTGGCACTTCCGGTAAATATAATGCCACTGTAGGAGAAATGTCTGATTTTTCAATTAACAAGTCTTTGTAAGAATCTTTAGGTTTTTCGGAATATAAACATAGCCAAAATGCAAACAGAGCTGCAGCTGCAATAGCAGAAGCTAAAAGCCATTCTGGTAGATCAACATGTCTTGAGACACACTGAAGCCAATCAGATCCAGGAATTGAAGCTGACTGTTCGTTTTCACCAGAGTAGTCTGATGGTAGACCATAATCTATCGTCTACATTTTCATTAAATTAAAAATTTTTATATTATTTATTATCATATATCAAATATAATAATAATCCTGTTACATCAAATAAAATTCAAGAATATAGTAAAGTAGAAAGCAATATTTTGTAAACAAGAAAGACAACGAATTAAATGCATTCCTTTTGTCATTTTCAAGATACGATAAAAATCTACACCTCAGCCTTAATTTATGCGAAAACCTATTCCATGTGGATTCGTTTTATGTGAATGAAAATAGTGTAAATAGAGTCTGTCGATGCAAGAGAAAACAAAATATTGGGAGGAAAAGTTGGTTAAGTTTTAGAAATACATATTTATTTCACATAACCAAACAAAAAAAATAGTAATAATGACATTTCAGAAAACAAAAATACATTTTATTCAGTGGTACTAAATTTACATTGCGCATAAAGTCTATAGCGTAAAATAGTGTTATAATTTACCATGTAAAAAAAGTTTCGCATAAATTCAAGGACAAGTTTATATTCTATGGATTTGAATATTGATTTTCATTTTTAAATAAATATTGTTTTTCAATATAAAACTTACCCCAGCATCCAAAGGAACAGTTTTAATATATGTTTGTGGCAATTTAAATCCATTTGAATCCCACCACCCTGGAAAAAGTTCTTTCCGTAAACCTGGATCGCTTAGAATATCATTTTCAGGCATGTCAGGTGACATTAAAGGTATGTTAGAATCTACTCCTTCTTCTACAAAGATGGCATCAGAAAAGAGCGATATTAAATCTGAAACACGCTGCCTGGCCATGAAATCACAACCAATGCTACATGCGTAACGACCTTGTGGCAATGTATATGCTTCTGCACACGCTACAACAAAATCAAGCAATATTATCATTATGCATTATCAATCACATTCAAATAAAGAAGACTTATATATAACAATGTATCTGAAAAGTTTTAGACATTTCTATATGTAAATCTAGAATTTATAATTTTAATATTTTCTTCTTAAGTATACATAATTTTTAGTTTCTTTATAATTTTTTTTCATATTTACTTCAATGTACAACCATTTCATTTAATATTATTCTAAATTTGTATAATTTATCACTGATGAATGCATTACAAATCATGTAGAATCAGACACTTTTCAGATAATCTACTACTGAAATAACTTTGATGAACATTGAATTATATTATATAGCTTTAAAGTGAGTTATAATAAACGTTATTATTATAGAGTTATAGAGTTATAATAAAGCTATAATAAACACAATATACGTTTAACATACAAGCTTCGCAGGCATCTCTGGTACCGTTTAAATTATTTTGTTCAAATACGTATAAGTCCACTAGATTATAAAATCTACATCCTCGTTGACAACACGATTTAATATATTTTATCTAGAATTAAAACGTCACATTTTTATTAATATACTTGTACGTAATACAAGATTGGAATAAAATTGATTTACGAAAGATAAACGAACATTCGTAAAAGACAGTGGTAATTTTTCACACAAACTAACGCACGGATCTTCTCTATTTATAGTGCTAAAAAATGTGTCACTAAACGCGACATTTACAAGAAATAACAGCAATAAGGCAACAATTTCCTTTTTTTCTTTCATTTCAGAACCTTACGTTCTTCACAGATAATGTTCGATCAGTGAAGCCAGATCAAGACTTTTCCCCCACTTTACTTTACCCTCACTACCACTCTACTTTCTTGCGGCGAATTTCCCCATTATCCCCTATTATCACCGCGCTTGGTACATAAGTGCCTACAGTGTCGTGGCGTCGTTTGCTTTTGTAAAAGATTGTGATTATAAGAATATATACAGTACAGGGAGAGATAATTTTGTTAGAATTCCAAAATGAATGAAGAATCAAGTAAGGTAAATATTCAAAATTTTTGTATCAGGATAATTACAAAAGTAGTTACTATTGATTTATATGAATGTTTTATGTATATAAATAACTGATAGTAACAACAGCAATTTTTCGCTCTGCAGCAAACCGCGATTTCTTGATGTTTGATGATATAATCTAGACATTGCACCTTAACTAAAGAAATGCAAAAAGGGCATATACAAAACAGAGTGTAATGTTTATAATATAATTTTGAAAATAAACTTACGGAAATAAGATTTAAAGGGACATGGCATTAGTCTTCAACAAAAACACACATAGAAAAGGAAGCAGAATTAAGGTATTATTTGTACATTGTTGAGCATAACATAAGTTTCTCTATATTTCAGGATTTGGTTGGATTGAATAAGATAGCTCAACACAACTCTTATAAATGTTACAAATTGTTAAACTGAAAAAATTAAAATAACAGTTATAATTATAAATATAATAAATAAGTTAATAGTTTCACAAGTTACACAAATATTACAAATATTACAAATATTTTCATTATTAATAAATGAAAATACAGATATTTCTAATGCTAAAAATTTAAACATTTTAATAAGATGTGTTAACAATGAATATGTTGAATCACATTTTTTTTATTTAATTGGAATTAAAGATATTACAGCAGAAAATTTATACAAATTTGTAGTATATAGTTCAAAAAAGTTTAAGTAATGTACAAAAAATATGGTTGATATATGTGCAAATAATACAATGGTATGTTGAGAAGGCAAAATTTAATAATTTATTGTAAAATAGAAAATAATAAGAAAGGAAGCTGCAGTGAACGCATGTAAATGCGTATCAAGATATATGCTTTCCACATAGCCCAAAGATACAAGTCCTATTTTAAGACCTGTAAAAGTTGGTAAGTATACAGGGAAAAAAAATGATGCAGTCATCTGGAACAAAATGGCTAGCATTATCAGAATGCATTAAGCGAATCTTAAAGCAATGTATTATTTTCTCTTTTGCTGAAATCAACATTAAAGAAGCTGATAATGTAGCAAGTATATACTCCTAATACAACTTTAACAAAACCATATTTAGAATTTTTAAATTATATCTTAAATATATTTTTGCAATTTAATAAACTATTTCAAACTTTCCAAGGCTACCATTTAAATACTAACAACCGACTGAGTTAGTACGAATTCGTCGCCAACATCGGCCCAGTTTCGACTATCACCCAAGAACCTACTAAGTATCTATTTGTGAAGTTTTATAATTTAAAAATTAGAATCTGAGGAAATTTGTTTTTTTTTGGATTTCTTTTGTTTCGAAGTAATACAATTCTAATAGATAATCGTTCGATAAGTATTCACAATTGAAAAGTCAGTAACTAAAGTGTTAATATTGTCTTATACTGAAAGCAAACAAGTTTTTTAAACTTTTAGGCTCTCATTTTATGAATGAATAATATGTAAGAGATAGTAATTTTCATACAAGAAATATTACTGACGAAAATATTTAAAAAATTTGGAGTATTTGAAAAACATCCTTTCATAACAAAGATAAATGGTATTAGAAGTAATTATTAATGATATGGTAACCCTGTTTTTACATTACACTAGTATCTAGTTCAGGGTTGTTAAACTGCATCCCCTGAAGCCAGTGATTCCTATTAGCGGTTCCCCTACTACAAGAGTGTCTAAATCATTGCCTGCAGGCACTCTAGTGACACTCTCCTCACTAGACGTTACCCCCTCCATACCTACTTTTGTCTGTTGAACACTAGATAGAACTGTTCATATACACAGTTTCGGTACAGACGAGGTATAGGATAGACATTGCAGGTTTATGAGACTCGGTTTCACAGGCTCTGAATTACCAACTGTGTAAAAGATCAGAGGTTTTGCTCTACCCTCTACGCCTACAGAACTGTTAATAGTAAAACTACACAATCAAAATGATTGAACCAAGTAGCAAATATGGTAAAAATTCGCACGTTACGGTGCAGCTTTCGAAGGGAGCTGTAGAAAGTATGTGTATGTACAGGCGTCTCGGAGAAGTGGAGTATTTTCGACTTACTCAAGTTTATTGTGGATTGCGAAATTCCGTGAATAGGACGGTGCAATTTTTCAGAAGCGGAAGACCTGCAACTGATTAGTGAAACCATTTTAAGTACATATTTATATAGAGTACTATTTTATACAAAATAGTTTTCGAGATAAAAATAGGTTTAATTTTTAAAAAATGTATGGGAACCGAATCAAAAATACTGAATTTTCTCGAAAAGTCTGAGTAATACAAACACGAATGTGTCAAACAAAAGTTACAGTGTGTGAAATACTTTCTCACAGTTTAGTGAATTGTAACGTTGTATCATTTGTGCGCAACAATTTAGTTACACACTGTAGATATAATGATTCTGCTGAAGTCTGTGCAAATAAATACAAACAAATAAATGAAAACGGTGTTCTTTCTTTTTGAAAATGTATTATACATAATTTATTTGTATAATATAATCGGCGAAGTTCTTATTATTTTTTGGACAATTACTTTTTAGATCTGAAAAATCTGAGCCATTGTTCTGTAGAAATTTTGAAAATTATTTTCCATGAAATTTTTAATCACTAATCTGTAAAGTGCATACTTCGTAACGTGACTACACCATCTTAACAGTTCTCCTCTCCTTCAATCTCGAAAAGTTAGCGACTGCCCGTTTATTTGAATTATACACCACCGGAATAGTGAACATACTAAAAAGTAAATACAAAATTCTTTATATAATAAATAACAACAAATGTAAAGTAGTGGTTTAAACAGTAATTAATAAACTGCGAATTTTTATGCGTTTATAGGAAATTTGAAAGTTCAAAGTTACACAGAACGTGCACAATACGTAAGAACATAAGGGTATGAAACATTCAGATCTGGGTGCTGTTTTACAATGTTTGCTAGGAAAAATAATTTTCTATTGCAATTATATTTTTCTAATCACATTGTAAAAAGTTTTATTTTTTGTAAAGATCTGCAGTCTAATAATAAATAAATAAATTTATAGAAAGATTATTTGAATAAAATACACTTCATCATTTTCATGAAATATTTAATTCTTATAATACATTTAATTTCATTTATATTAGGTTGTGTAATACGAAATGTCAGATTTGGCGGGAAAAAGGAAACCTTATTTAACGTTTTAAAAGACGTTTATTCGATTAAAATATGCTCAGTTCGATTCGATATACAATACTTCTAAAAATACGATCTAAAATCTAATAAGAAATCTAATGAATATATTGCTTTTTTGATAAATTCTAAATGTTTAGAATGAATCAATTCTGAAGATATCGTTATAAACTATTGTTTTGGGGTTTACCACGTGGCTCATTTTGTAAAGAAACATCTTTGAAACGAAATTTTGCAAAACAATGCTGCACTCTTATTTCATTCACAGTATTATTCTCAAATGCTTTATTTATATTTTCAGCGGTTTTTGCAGCATTATCTCCATGCTTGAATTCATATATGAAAATTACACGAATATTAGTGGTATTAATGTTTTCAAAGAACAATGTAGGAAATAGTTAGTGTGCACAATTTGGAAAAACTTTTTGGCAAAAAGTTACTCTAATAATCGACAATGAAACTGTTCAATAGTTTATATGAATAACAACAACAGGAGTACATACAAACATTTATGACAGAGGTTCCGCTATTCACAGAAAATTTCCGAGGGAGCTGCGTTTTTTTCCCTTCTCCTTTGTTTCCCGTCTTTTTTTATTACTCTTCCTAACTTTTGTTTTCTTTCTAACTGTTGTATTCCGTTTAACCGTTGTATCTTGTGTCTCGTGTTTTGTGAATATATAGTTGTAAATTGTAGTAGTTTTTGAGTAAGAGAAATTCGACATTTCATATTACACGATCTAAAATATCTTCATAAAATTTATAACATGAAATTCATTCATTGGGGTGAGATAAATTACACATGACTTTTGCACATTATCAGAAACGTGACTTTTTTAGATAGGTACCTTTTAAATAGTTATAAATACCTTTTACAAGTAAAATCACAGTTTACAGTGACATTTTTTAAATCGCAACACTAAAAGAACGCGCGTTCAATAAATCGCAACTTGAAATCCAAAAATAGTCAGAATAAACCGCGGTCTTTCAGTATTGTGACAATATAGAATCAAAACCGATTATTTTTTATTCGTAACGCTATCATAATATCGAAAAGTATAATATTAAACTATAATTGAATATTCCAACAATCATAAAGTCAAATGCACTTTAATCTTCGTGATACGAAATTCTTAAAGCAACTTCAAAGAGCAATTAAGATTGATTTGAATCCAAATCGCAACACTAAGTAAAACCATGGTCATTTTTTCGCAACGCTAATTAAAAATCGTGAAAACAAACAACTATAACTACGAACTAATATAATTAAAGTGAGTAAATACTTACATGCTATCTTGAGCGACATTTTGTCAGGGCCTCTTCGGCATATAGCCTCTTCCTGTCTTCGGCAATCTACCATTTCTGTTAAATAAAGCTGCTCTATGTCGAATCATCAACGAATTAAAAAGGATCGCCGATCTTTCGAAAGGGCAATAGGACGATATCGTGTATTGTGTAGAAAGAAAAACTTGAAAAGTCGCAAGGTCAAAGGCGATAAACAAACGACATGCTCCGATTTCTTATCTCAATTCTCATTTATATAAACGCAACTGTAAATTTGCTTAATGTGCAGTAAGAAAACCCAAAATATCTGCAAGTTAATAACAACCGCAACCCAGATTACCGATCTTTTGAATCCATTGTGAAAGTATTTCATTTCATACGCATTA